TGTGGGAAGGTCGCCTCATTGGTGAACAAAATAGTGGCTGGGAAACAGAAATATGTTCAGGGCATCTGGTAAATTCCACTATGCAAAGGTCAATGGTGGAGCAAAATCACTTATGTCCAATAATTGTAAACATTGAGTATGGTACAGGTGAATGGAGTTGTCATGCAGGAATTACCAGAAGCTGTTGTGGGAAATCCCAACAAGATTGGCGATAGCCCACGTACTGGCACCGGGACTGATCTGTACCATCCCCAGCACGGTCTCCTTGTTAGCTAACAATTTTTACTATTGCTGACATTGTTGTGTCTTCTTGCTGAAAGATCCCCATTCAGACAACATTCTGTATATGCGTGGAAAAAAGTTGTGGCAGGGAGTTTGCCTTATGGGATAATGTTGGGGATATAATCACTGTGCGGACTCACTCAATGCAATCAGAGGCCCCACATGCAAGATGCATATCAGTGACCTCTGCATTCGTGTAATGTGTCATCCTATTTCCACTATGTTAGCAGGTGAAATGAAGATTCATTGCAAGTGTGGCCACAACTACCATGCACATGCTACATTACCTGATGTTTCAGTGTATGTAGCACCATTTACCTCACACATGAACATGAGCCAAAGCTGTCCAAACATTTTAAATGCATTAAGCAAAATAAACATGTTTTCTCACCTTGTAATGTCCTCCTTTTCTGGCATTTTGCATTGTCACTACCATGCCAGGAAGGCATTTTTGATCATGCATTGCTATGTGATTCTTAATCGGCTACGCGTACTCTTCTATCTCTCCTGAAAGTCTGTAACCACAGGGCTGAAACACCCTGTATATAGTGTATATATATATATATATATATATATATATAATAATTTATTTCCTAAAAACAGTATTGATTAATTGATTATTATCTCCTAAGTTTAATTAAAGTAGAATTATTTTAAAGTCAGTATGGATTCACACTTTTAAAATAATTCTACTTTAATTAAACTTAGGAGATAATATAATCAATTAATCAATACTGTTTAGGAAATAAAATTATTATTAACTAACTTTGCAGCAATTGCGCAAGTAATAATAACTTGTATTCGCACTAAATGGATTTAAAACATCATACAACATTTATGTATATATATATATGTATATATAGTGTGTATAATATATATATATATGTATATATATAAACACACACACACATGAAATTTTTTATTATTATAATATTAGATTTCTTATTGATTTCTGATTAACTATCTAAGATGTCTTGTCATTACATTTTAAAAATTCAGTACTAAAACATTATTATATTGACAGATCAATGACATGTGAAAATATAATGGCAAATAACAAAGTGTTATTTTTACTAAATTTATTATTTGTTATAGAAGAATATATATATTCCCCTTTTAAGAATCAGCATAAAATACTAACTTTCTATACATACATACTTTCCCTCTCAAATTTTTCTTACTCAAAGATAATGGCATTTAGCATTTTTAAGTGAAAATATATCAATGTGTACATGAACGAAGTCCAGGGAGTGCACAATGCCAATTTTGTGCAATTCTCTGATTTTTCTAAAGTAAAAATAGGTTGATGTGTATATGGATAAAGGGAGTGCACAAGAGAGTTGTACCATTATCGGCGACTTTATCGTTTGTGCCGGCAAAACGGAAAAGTACCAATTTAAAAAAATAAAATGGAATGTAGTAAGCAAATATACAACACTTTTTTGAATTTTGGAACTGTACTTAATATTTAAAAGATTAAGAAGGGCTGATCTTTGGAATATGGTAACTGGTAGTTTGGCGACATTTTGGAGGCGATAAAAGTTACTACCTAGGACTTTGGTAATAATGTGAGAAGTACTCAGTTCCGATTATGCATTATTTTGTGTGAGGGAAACGAGATGTCATGCGACATTAATGGACAAATTACAGTTCTTTAATCGGAAAAGGGGAGAAATCTGGAAATTTTGTATTTAGCTTTATTCTGTGTTGTGTGAAACAGCATTGGTTAATATTTGGATCACATGGCCCTAACTAAAGTGAATTCGAAATGGGTATTTAGTGGGATTGAAAGGGGTAGTAATAAGTGTTTTTTTTAAGGTTGTGCGAGATAGAAGTAAAGATTGCTTATTAAGTTTTATTAAGTCTGTTCGGAGGATGAAGGTTTTCAACATCTTGCTTTGAACTACAGTCAAAAGTCGTTAATTCGGACACCCATAATTCGGAATGATCTATAATCCGGACCTCAAAACTAAAAACTTTCTGCGCATGCGCCGCTTTGACACATGCGCATAGGTGTTTACGCGTGCGCGTAAAACCTTTTACGACTGCGCATATGAGTGTGCGCAAGTGCAGAATACGTTTTCGCGTGCGCGTTTTATGTATAATAGACATATAAGCTAAAATTATCTAATTATCTGTTTCAGTTAGTGTTGATAATCGCGTTGTTCCTTAATTTTCGAATTGGATCCGGCTTATTATTTTTTGCAGACTGTAAGAGCAATTTTATAAAAGTAAGCTTAAACTTTCGATTATATCAAATAGAATTTCCGATATATATTTGTTAATATGTAAAGGATCTAAAGCGAAAGTATGTTTTGAAATCCGAAATCTGTTTATCAATTTCACGCTGCTCGGCGGGGGGAACGCAACGGCGGGCGCGTAATGAATTGGAAGTTGATTTGTCAGCAATATCCTTATCTTCAGCGCTGATGTTTTTATTTTATTTGGCTTATAATTCCTTACCAAATGTAGTATTTCATCTTGATATGCTCCGTCTTTGATATGATTTAAAACAAGTTTCTCGTCATTATAATTCGCTTCCGATAGCGAAGAAAAGTAACAGAGGTTATTGAAAACGAAAAAATTTCGATTGACAAATTAGTCGGTGTTCTTGACACAGCAATTATAGGACTTGAACAGCGGAACTTTGTAACTGAACAAGAAATTATGTCTGTTTAATAGAATTAAAGAGAAAGTATTATCACATAAAACGAAGCAAAACTTAAACAACTTACATTGAAAGAAATGTTTAATAAAGTAAACAAATAAATATTAAGCTTTTTCTTTTTGCAAGTTTTGATACCCTTTAGATCATAATTGTTCTTTATTTCATAAATTACGGTTTTCATATTTTTAATTTTAGAATTCCTGCATGCCATCTTACGAGATTTAAACTGATGATCTATAATCCGGAAAAATCGATAATCCGGAATCGCCGAAGTCCCGGCGAGTCCGGATTAACGACTTTTGACTGTATAAGTATGATTTTAAAGATCCTGAAAGAGGCGCACATACGATTGCGTTTTATTTAGCGGAGGAAATAAGAGAAGTTTATCCGCCACGTAAAAAGCACATATATGAAATTACCTGATCGCAAAAAAGTATATACCCTATCCAAGGATGAACATTTCCACGTATAATATAAATAAAATATCCAAAACTTTTACCTCTAAATTATCTATTATAAACGTCACCAACGAATTCATAACAAAACATTAAAAATGGTTACAAATACTTAGTGTCAAATATTTAAATTATTTCCATGCACGTTTACTTCCACTCAAACGTATACCAAATTGCTACAAACATATAATTCACAAAATAACTATCATTTAATTAAAATACAATTAAACCATGTACACGTCGACTTATTTTTACTTAAAAAAAAAATCCCAGAATTGCACAAAAATGGCATCGCCAAATTTTCACCAAAAAATCGCCAAGTTACCATAATCCAAAGATCAACCAAATCTGCAAATGCGAACAACAATGGTGATAATTCAACAAAATGAATGCAAGAGGAATGGTTGCAACCTTCGCACAAGCGAATAGGATGAATCCGCTGGGTTACCAGGTTTGAACTATTATCGTCAAAGTTGGCAATGTTTACATTTCCTGGGTTCTCTGCAAAAGTGCTTCCCTTGTTATTTTGTCTTTGTGTAACACAAAGCCAAAATAACAAGTCAAAGAACTGCACAAAGTCGGTATCCAGGTACCGCCAAAACTTGCCAAGGAGTACCCATGAATATACTTTTACCGCATTTCTTACAAAAAAGGCATATTAATAATCAAGAATTTCAGTCAAGAACATTCGACACAATGAAATAAATTAATTTTGGTTTAAAATCTCAATTTTGTTAAAATTGAACTGAACTTCGCACATTTTTAAAACTGACTTAATATTTTATAAATAATTGATCATGGGGATGGCGGGAGTTTAAATCGCAGTAGCACAGTGCAATCAAAATAGTTGGACAATTTATTGCATTTAACAGCTACTGAAATATCTTTCACATTCTTAGAAATTTTATCTTTAAAACATCATCAATATAGAGAATGAAAGTTACGGGGAAAGTGCAGAATGACCCACTGCTTGGTACGTTTTTAAGAATTGCACATACTTGGTATCCATGTACACATCAACCTATTTTCACTTTAAAAAAACCCACAATTGCACAAAAATGACATTGCGCACTCCCTTGACTTTATCCACGTACACAACGACCTATTTTCACTTAAAAAGTGAAAGAAAATTGACAAAAATCCGATTCTTCTTACTTTTGTAAAAAGCGCCAAACCAATAAATGGGCGATTCTGCACTTTACCCAAAGTTACTATTACACTTGCTTGCATAAAAACCATTCATCATGTACTAAAATTCTCCTCGGCGGATGTTCATGAGGAATTTGCAAAATAACTAATAGGTGAAATCAAGTTATTTATTTACAGTAATTGAATATTTATTACAAGTAAATGTATGTACAAAAACAATTACCTAACTGCATTACAAGTGGTTCAAAATAATATAATGTGCATTACGCTATGACAGAGCAAATTTTGTATTCAGTTGCGTATGCTTTCCAAGATTTGCCGTCCTGAATTTTAAAGAAACAGTATTGAAAGAAAATGAAAATAATACAAAAAAAAATCGTCATGGCCAAATGTAGACAAAACGAATAATTTAATCGGGTATAATTCCCGCAGATGTTTGAGCTTACCGGATAATTATCAAAACATCACTTTTGTAAACAAATACTGGTACCACATCCTACGCTGAGAGGGACGAAATTACAGGATGCGAAATATCACATAAATTAGGACTTTTAGAATATCTCTGTATAAATACTTATTTAATGAAAACTATGTTTTAAAATTCATAATTTACTAGAAAATGACGCTGAAAAACACCGATCCTATAAATACAGCAGAACAACCCAGACATATTTCAAGAGTTTAGAGCTTGTCTTACTTCTTGAACTTATTGACAGGTTGAAAATTACCCATGAGAACAAAGTTAAAAATAACACCTGGAAAATTACACTAGATAGTAAACTAATCTTTATTTAGAAGTAAATTCAAAATTGCTTTTATATTTTTCAAAGTTTTGTATATGTTACATATTGATCATCTGTGAAACGTTTAAAGGGACAGTGTCAAATTCTGTGCTTAAATGAGTGGCAACATTTATCTGCCGCAATGCAAGGTATCGATGTCAGCGGTGTTTACAATTTTCTAACATGCCAGGCTCTTACGTTTATGTAGCTCGATACGACTCCACTCTTAAACATGAATCTGTTCTTACTTTTAAAGAGGGTGATCGTTTTATTCCAGTGCAAGGTTGCTCAAATAATTCTAATTGGGCGTTGTGTGTAGATATGACAAGTAAAATCGGTTATGTACCCTATACCTATGTGGAAAAAAAGCAAGTAAGTAATAACAAGGAATTCATATTGTATTAGAATAAAATCTTATTTACCTGGCAGAACTGCAGAAAATTGAGCTTTAGTGTTTTTTAGTAAAAGTTGAAACTCTTAAATTTTTATGAGTATTCTGTAAAATTTATATAGTTGTGAAAAATTTAGGATTATTAAAATTTCTTTAGATTCTATTTTGCAATATATGATATTTTAAATTTATTATATTATAGTGTGTGTTTTAACTATGGAAAATACCTGAAATTTTCCGCATAAGGACTTATAATTAAAAATTCTTAAATGCGTTTCGAAAAATTTGTATTCATTTCTCGTGTGCTTTCATTTTGCGAGATTATAAAAAACATGCATTCTTAGTTTTTGATTTATAAAGATTCATACAAAGCTTTGAAAAATACAGGTTTTGAAATTCAAGTTTAATATACATCATTTATCTATTTTCCACTGACTTCTAGGAATCTAATCTGTTTTACTTTACTTTAAAATTCTATATACTAATATAATCGGAACTACTCTGATATGCGCCCTCAAGTCGCCAAATATTTTTGGAGAGAAACTTTACGCTGCCATATTACTATCTAAATTTTTTGTCTACATTTTGAACTTTTAGCCTAAAATGTCTCCAAAAACGCGGTTTTCGCACATGCAAAAACTACGTTTTGAACACACAATTTAGCTAAAAATCCAAAACAGAAACAAAAAATTTAGCTAGCAAAAACGTAATGTTTCTAACCAAAAATATTTGACAAGAATCCATGTACACAGCGACATATTTTAACTTAAAAAAACATCTACGAATTGCACAATGTAGGCAACGAATGAATCTACAAACTATGCAGACCTCGCTTTAATAAATTAACATACACAATAAATTTCAAAGAATACATGTACACAGCATCCTGTTTAAACTTTAAAAAATTCTACGAATTGCACAATTTAGGCAAGGAAGAATCTATGATCTACGCACTCCTCGCTTTAAATAAATAACATAACAACAATAATTTCAAAGAACCATGTACACAGCATCCTGTTTAAAAACTTAAAAAAAAATTCTACGAATTGCACAATTTAGGCAAGGAAGGAATCTACGATCTACGCACTCCTCGCTTTAATAAAATAACATAACAACAATAAATTTCAAAGAATACCATGTACACAGCATCCTGTTTAAACTTAAAAAAAAAATTCTACGAATTGCACAATTTAGGCAAGGAAGGAATCTACGATCTACGCACTCCTCGCTTTAATAAAATAACATAACAACAATAAATTTCAAATAATACCATGTACACAGCGTTCTGTTTCAACTTTAAAAAACATCTACGAATTGTACAGTCTAGACACTAAACAACAAAATAAACTAAAATAAATTTCAAACAATTTAAAAAAACAACAATAACGACAGAAATTCATACTAAAGAACCAATGAACATAACATTCTACAAAATAAGAACAAGGATAAAATAAAATGCACTTACCATGAATTAATGCGTTTTCGAATAGCAGAAATATAAATTTCATACCGCCTTTAACATGCCGCCACGTAATCACTATCGTATTTACATGACAGCCAGACACACTATCCAGAAAATTTATACTATGGTTCACAAATAAATAAAATCACAAATCCCTACTTCTATCATGCACTGCCATTAAAAATAATCTCCCAGACCCTCTTTCCACAGTTCCAAATACCCACTACCCCTCAACAGGATAGCCACAATCATATTTCCTTTTGCCGAACTTCAATTCAACAACTACCATTTTATCTTTCCCTCCCATCTTCTCAGACACAGAGGCGAACCAACGAGCTCCAGCGAAAGATTTTTCAACGTCAACAGGGTTGCCATAGAACACGCAATCGCGCCAAAAACCAGCGCAGAACACATATCGCCACATTTGGTGAAATTAGGGCTTGTATTAGTTGTACCATATAATCTGTAAAATTTCAACTAGTATGCAATAAATATTTGTTTGAACAAATAAAATGCATTCCATATTTTGTGGAAAGATGCTTTAAATTCATAATTTAAGATTCTACATTTAGTTTTAAAAGCCTTGTTCGTGATCCATCTGTTTAATTAAAAATAGCTAGAAAACATATTACAAAATTATAAATTCTGCCGCTTTTGGATTTTAAATTTAGCATTGGAAGAACCATGCGTTTTTTGTATATTATTTGAGCACTAGTATGCCCCTGATTTTTATTTGGCGAGAAACACCACGCTGCCATATTGCTATCTAAATTTTTTGTCTACATTTCAAACTTTAAGCCTAAAATGTCTCCAAAAACACTGTGTTTGCGAATGCAAACCACGTTTTGAACACACAATTTAAGCTAAAAATCTGAACCAAAAACAAAAAATTTAGATAGCAAAACCGTGAAGTTTCTAACCAAAATTATTTGACAAGAGTCCATGTACACAGCGATATGTTTTAACTTGAAAAAACATCTACGAATGGCACAATCTAGGCAACGAACGAATTTACGAACTACGCACAACTCACTTTAATAAATTAACATAACAACAATAAATTTCAAAGAATACCATGTACACAGCATCCTGTTTCAACTTAAAAAATATCTACGAATTGCACAATTTAGGCAACAATCGAATCTACGAACTACGCACACCTCACTTTAATAAATTAACATAACGACAATAAATTTCAAAGAATACCATGTACACAGCATCCTGTTTCAACTTAAAAAACATCTACGAATTGCACAATTTAGGCAACAAACGAATCTACGAACTACGCACACCTCACTTTAATTAATTAACATAACAACAATAAATTTCAAAGAATATCATGTACACAGTGTTCTGTTTCAACTTTAAAAAACATGTACGAATTGCACAATTAAGACGGTATGCACTAATCAACAAAATAACTAAAATAAATTTCAAACAATTCAAAAAAACAACAATAATGACAGAAATTCATACCGAAAAAACAATGAGCATAACATTCTACAAAATAAGAACAAAAATAAAATAAAATACACTTACCATTAATGCTTTTTTGAACAGCAGAAATACCAATTTCATACCGCCTTTAACATGCCGCCACGTAATCACTATCGTATTTATATGACAGCCAGACACACTATCCAGAAAATTCATACTATGGTTCACAAATAAATAAAATAACAAATAATCACAAATTCCTGCTTCTATCATGCACAGCCACTAAAAATAATCTCCCATACCTTCTTTCCACACCTCCAAATACCCATTGCCCCTCAACAGGATGGCCACGTCGATATTTCCTTATGCCGAACTTCAATTCAACAACTTTCACCATTAAATCTTTCCCCCCCTAGCTTCTCAGACACAAAGCATGACGGGAACCAACAAACTCTAGCGAAAGATTTTTCAACATCAACAGGGTTGCCATACAACGTGCAATCGTGGCAAAATCCAGCGCAGAAAACATATCGCCACATTTGGTGAAATTAGGGCGTATATCAGAGTTGTACGGAATAAACGAACGTGTAAAATTCTCTGTGGTATGAATTGCATGGGAATGAGAATGGGAGATTTAAAAAATAGAGAATAAATCCAACTTTGAGAACGTATATACATTTTGAAATTTAATGATAAGATTGAATGAGGTTAAATAATTATCAATATTAGAATGAAAATAGATAAATTATTTTATAACTCAAACTTTTTGCAGCAGTAAGCAGTATAGTTAGCAAAATAAACCAACTAATGAAATCAATCAAAAACTTCAGTACACACAAAGTTTTGGGTTAAAATTTTTCTAAACATTAAGAAACTTTAATTAACATTGATCATCTGAAGTGTATCCGTACAACATGCATTTTTTCCTCTTCTTCTAATTAATATAAGGTAACATTTTTTAAGAATGGTAATCCTTGGTTATCTGGCCACTTATGTCTGACTTTGCTCCATCACAGTTCTTCGCGCAGATGCTGCCTGGAAATCATGAACAAATTATCTGAATCAAAAAACATCTTGGATGATGAATGGTGTCTTGAGTTGCGAACACTCATGTTGTAACTCGTGAAACTCATGCCTCGAGTATGAACACAATTTTGCTAACCCAAGTTAACAATGGCTCTACTCTTATATGCACCCTAATATCGCCAAATGTGGCGATATGTGTTCTGCTCTGGTTTTTAGTGCGATTGCATGTTAATATGGCAACCCTGTTGACGTTGAAGGTATTTTGCTGGAATACTTTAATTGCTCATTAGTTTGTATCATGCGTGTTTTGAAATGGCCTATGTTGTAATGAGAGACGTGATGGCAAGATTTCTGTTGCGTATTTTAAATTGTGTGCAAAGGAAATTTAGTATTAAAAGGTACGATGTTGGAGTTGTTAATGAGTCTGCTCTGTATAATGCTGTGTGTCTGAGAAGATAGGGAGGAAAGATAAAGTGATGGAAGTTGATGAATCAAAGTTTACCAAAAGAAAATATCATTGTGGCCATCCTGTTGAGGGGCGGTGGATATTTGGAGGTGTGGAAAGAGGGTCTGGGAGATTATTTTTAGTGGTTGTGCATGATAGAAATAGGGAAACGCTGATGCAGCGTATTAAAGAGTGGGTACGCTGATGCAGTGTATTAAAGAGTGGATTGACTGGTACAACTATTTTTTTGGATGGATGGAAATCTTACAAGGATTTAAGAAAAGAAGGTTTTGAACATTTATTTGTGAACCATGGTATGAATTTTCTGGATAGTGTGCCTGGCTGTCATATAAATAGGATAGTGATTATGTGGTGACATGTTAAAGGCAATATGAAATTGGTATTTCTGCTGTTCGAAAAAGCATTCATTCATGGTAAGTGGATTTTATTCTTGTTCTTATTTTGTAGAATGTTATGTTCATTGTTTTTTTAGCATGAATTTCTGTCGTTACGGTTTTTTTTTTTTTTTTGAATTGTTTGAAATTTATTTTAGTTATTTTAGTTTATTTTGTTGATTAGTATGTAGTGCCTAGATTGTGCAATTCATAGAT